ATATATACCAAAAAGTAAGTATTATTATACTTATTCCGTTTAATAACTCATATTTTATATTAAGTTTTAATAATTCAATTGTTAAATTTAAAGTTTTTAATGTATAGATCAAATCTGTTAATTTTTTAAAATTTTAAATATTTTATTAATTTAAATTAATGGATAATTATAAAATTATTTCATATATTAATTTAAATTAATAAAATAAAATATCAAATAATTTTTAAATTTTTTAAAATTTTACAAACATAATACATATATTAAAAATTTTAAATTTAACAATTGAATAATTAAAATTTGATATAAATTATAAATTATTAAATTAATTAAGTTTATAGACTTACTCAAATAAAGAATCCTTTAAACACAACATCCTTCTTAACATTTATATGGCCTGAAATAGTTAAAAACATTCGGTAGTTACCAATACCTCACTCTCCTACTTTTAAGCCAAAAAAATACAAGGGTCATGCACTTGATCCCTTCTTTTCATATTGTTAACAATTCTTCAGTTCTATCACTAGCATTTCAACAGACAGTAACTAATCCTTTAACTTTTACTGTTTGCCTTCAGTGTCGATTGTACTAGTGATCTCCTATCTATTGATCGGTTATATTTAGTATGTGTATGAAAAACCATCCAATATCAGCGGAATGAACTTTTTCCACTTTCCAATGAAAAAAATAAAATAAAATAAGTGTAGTTTCATGCAATATAAAAACACCCATTTGTGATATGTTAAGATTACGTCCGCTAAACTATTTTTTGATTTTATTTTTGGTTCGCCCTAAGAGAAGTAAAAAAAGGCTATGGAGTGTATAATGTGTTCTTACTTCTTCAACATTTGTATATATGTACTATATTAGTATACAGCGGCGGCTTATGAAGCTTGGTGGGTTGGTAGCCAATGAGGTTTGACTCTCGTCAGCGTTACGATCGATGAGATGTGCACTGTTCACTTGATTGCCACTAACTTTGAAGGTCTTGTCAAAACATGATTTTCATTCTTCCTCAAACCATAATATTCCACAAACTTCAGCCACCTGCCACTTCATCATCAACTTTTCAATTTTTAAGGTCGGAGTGCTTATGAAACATCACACTCATTACATATACATACTATTCGATTAGTAGAAATTAGAAATTAGTTTTAATGTTGGAAGCAAGGTAATATAAGGGTATTGACAAATCAACTTTAGTTTGCCTTCGTTCCCATCAAATTCATCAGAAATCACACAATATTTAATTAAGTGACGACAGATGAATGAATCAGAGCAGAATATATCATGCATCTTGTATTAAATTTCATTCATGAAAAACACGAGAATGTGCAGTTGTGCACATTTTCGGAAATTTTGACAAAATTAAGGTTCGGAATTTGAAGTATGGTGTCCTCACAATGGATAAAAGCATAAAATCTTGGCATTAATTTCCGTGCTACATCTGTTGCGCATTGCCCACGTGGTATGATTAAATTAAGTTAGATTCTTTATATTTTATTAAATTATTAACAGTGAGTTAAGTAATCAATCATTACATTTTATTAAGTTATTCATATTTTAAAAGTTCAAATTCGTGAATTAACGATATATTTTTAAGTAGTCTTATTTAACATTAAACTTTAATATTAGTATTATTTTTTTTTACAACCTAATTCTTACATTCATTTTATATTTTTTTTCACTTTTTGTTTTTTATCCCGTCATATTCATTATTATTTTTTATATTTTTTATTCCAAAGGATGTCAAGCTCTCAACATCTATATTTTTTATTCTTAAGAAAAATATTATAACTTTAATAATAAGAATTGAACATGCATCTATCATAACTTCTCTAATCACTAGATCAACTCTCATGGTTAATTACATCTATGTTAATATAATTAAACTTCATTATTCACGACAGTACGATCACATTAACTTGTAAATTGTACTTATCAAAAATTGGATTCATCTAAACTTTTCATGCATTTATCATAACTTTCTAATCACAAGATCAACTATCCTCTAGTTACATCTATGTTAATATAATTAAACTTCATTATTCACGACAGTACGATCACATTAACTTCGTAAATTGTACTTATCAAAAATTAAGTTCATCCAAATTGTTATTTAAAGTTGAGAACCTTCTTTTTTCCTTCTCCTATAAGTTTTAAAAATCATTCAGTAAGACGTTCAAGTTAGAGATGAAGTAATGGTGCATTTAGATAGTGTAAAAATATAATTTGTCTACCTTGTGATCATTTCCACTATTTTATATACTAAAAAAATGTTATTCTTCATCAACTTCTAATGAAGACATTATTCCTTCTTAGTGACAATAATGAACTGTACAAGACATTGTGTTTCATCCTTCTTACTGTTGGCATGTGACTGATGGTATTTGATTTTATCCAAGTGGCATGCGACTGATCATGTATGGTATTTGATTTTATCCGAGAGTACCCTTGTGGGATTTCCCTCTCTTTCATATCCTTGCTCTATAGTTGGTCTTGATCTTACTATCATCAAAATTTTCCTTTTTGCAAGGCTTAAATCATATTCTAAGCACTTGTACTGCTAAATTAAAATGATAATAATACTTTGTTAAATATTGGTAATAATTTAACCTAGTAATTTCAATTATATTATTGAAATCTTGAAAATATATATATAGAGACTCCATTTTTTCATTCCTAATTGTTCTTCAAATTGCACACTATACAAGGAAATAACATAACATTGACTTTATGCAGGATGCTCGTTATCAGTTGGCAGCAATATAATGGATGCCACATTCATATTTTATAAATTACAATCATGATGTCGTGTATATATAGCAAATTTATTCATATTGTGTATCTACAATCAATTATAATAATATTATTTGAATATGACAATTCAAAATAATATGTAATTAATCTTTGCAGGATAGTAGTTTCAAATCATGCATAGAATAAATATTCATCAACAAAATATGTGGTGTTTTAAAAATTGGATAATAATATTGTATGAATGATAAGAAGAATTTCTTCCTTCAATCTCTTCTTGATAAGAATATGCAATTTGAAAATAGACTTTTCTCCTTGTTTTTATTAGTTAAGTTTCTCATTTATTCTCTCTATCGACTTCCTTCCTCTTCCCATTTTGCTACCATTATGTATCTTGTGGTGGTTAAGGAAAAGTTTATCTAGTCCCATAGTGAACATCAAATGTACTTACCGAAAATTAGGTTCATCTAAACTCTTGCTTGAAATTGAGAACCTTCTTTTTTTATTCTCTTATAAGTTCTGAAAATCTTTCAGGTGAGATAGGGTACCTACAATGACACTCCAACAAGAGAGAGTAATAATGTAGGTATAATGTAAAAGTATAATATGTTTTTCTTGTGATCAAGTCTCCTATTTTATATGCTAAAAGGATGTTATTCTTCATTAAAATTTATAATAAAGATATTATTTCTTATTTGTGACAATAATGAATTATATAAGACATTATGTTCTATTATTTTTACTGCTGACATGTGATAAGTCATGTATGGTATTTGATTTTATCCAGGAGTAGCCTAGTCCCAGGATATTTATGTAGGGTATTTTCCTATTTGGTACACAAATAATTACATTACTGAGAATATTGGATTTCAATTTAAAATTTTTACGCATATATAGTTAGCATTTTTGGGTCATTCGTAATTTGAGTTAGATATGTACAGGAGTAATCCATTGATTCCATTCATTCTCCTTACTAAACTAGATGAAATTTAATCCTTTTATGTTAGTATCGCGAATATTAAACAATTTAACAAAAGAAGTTCGTGTAGTGTTACCTGTTTCCAATTACTACAGTTCTAACAAGATTCTGGTACGAAAGTTTAACAACTTAACATCGCCATAGACTATATATTACGCTATAGGAGTTGTTGTCTCCACTGGGAAGTCTGAAGGTGAAACTTAACGTGTCCTTACTGAATTTATATAGCGGCGAAAATTGAAAGTGGAAGATTTTCTGTGACAAAGTCTCAAAGACTCGAAACTTAGCCGCCAGGTTATGCATGCTGTTGTAAAGTGGAAAAAATGTGAGACGTGTCCGTGCTTAAGGCTCGGTAAACACTTTGTCTTGCTGCTTTTATATTGACTCTAGTTTAAAAAAAAAAAAACTAGTAATATGATTAATGTATAGCATGGATTAAAATCAAATAACCAACCACCAACTAGCGTGTGAATCAAGTACAGAGTTATTCTTACTTAAGTGGTTGGAAGAAAAACTTTCCTGTCCATGATGGTTAATACTTCTGGTATAGACAAAAGAATAATCACTCAAACTACAGAATGTAAGGCAAATCTGTAATTTGAGCAGTTTTGTAGGGAGCAACTGTTAGCATTTATAAAGTTCCTTATTCTTGCGTTTGCTCGCGTTGACATGTCTTATGTAAAGCCAAAGTGGATAAACTAACACAAAACACAAGCACAAAGATGAGCTACTTTACAGGCTTAGCTGGAACCACAGTTTGTTTTTCTTTTACAACCGTTGGTACTCCTTTGTTTGATTTTGTTGACAAAGAATAAAGTTTTGGAAATATTTTCTAGTTTGGAGAACAAAAACATTGTTTCAAATTTACTAATTGACGTTATGGATTGCACAATGAGAATGAAAGGCATGCAACGTACATCTTGGATTTCTAAGATGCTGAAATTTCTTTGCCTGCAAATTTGGTTAACTCTAATATTCATTCAGAAGTTTCAATTGCCACAGTCATGTCACCTGAGAGGAAAGGCAAATCAATGGTAGCACAAGCAGTTTGGAGATTTCCGTGTCGACCTCCCTTCCCATCTTTCACACAATTCCCAACTTGGAAAAGATATACAAGGTGAAAATTCTTCGGATGCCAAAGGGATCATCGAGCTAGCCTGATCATGTCAAGAGACATAAGTGACATGGGATGCTATCCTTTGGGAATGGAATCCGCAATAACAGTGCAGGAAACACAAGGTTTCAATCAAAAGCTAATATTTAAGAATTTGGGATGGGTCAATTACTTCATATTCTTCAAATTACTGCATTTAAATTTTCAAATTACAAAATTCACCATGGAAATCATGGGTTCTATGCATTCAAGAAATAACTACCTCAATGAAGCAAACTGTAGATAAACTAATATGTATCAATGCAAATAAGATGACTTAAGAGAGATCTATGTAGCATAGCCACAAAAACTGCAATTTACATCCCAAAAAACAACAGTAAGAAGAAGTCAGGGCTTTTCCACATTTTTCTGACCAGCCTCTGCTATGTATTTTGCAACATCAGCACAGCAAGCAAGTTTATCTGCTTTCTCATCAGGGATTTCAATCGAAAATTCTTCTTCAAGAGCCATAATGAGTTCCACTCGGTCCAAACTGTCCAGGTTCAAGTCTTTCTGAAAATCAGCTGTTTCAGTAACCTACAAAATGGTCAAGTAGACTTGTTAGAAGTAACAACAAGCTTCCCACAATATTATCCCTCAGCATAAAAGATAATTCAGCAATATTTAGAAAGTTTCATATATATAGTATATACAGAGCTATGGATTGTCCAGCATTAAATATAGCCATATAAAACGGTAAATCTCAATTGACCATTAACTTAATACCTTTGAGGCATCGGTTTTATCATACTTCTTGGCCAGGGCTATCACTCGCTCCAGTATTTGATCAGAGCTGGCAGCTGTTGAAGAGCACCAACATCTCAACTGCATAAGCACACTCTCATCCCTGGCCAAAAACCATCTTTCGGTTGACCTCCTCAAATTCACATGAGTCAAGATAGATTTCCTTATGCTATGCATATTGAAATCAACAAATGATCCAGGCACTACTTCAAAGTTATCCAAGATGGTTAGTTTCAGAACATAAAAGAGGCGTCATCAAAGAGTGAAACTATGAAATTGAGAATAATAAAGGACTTTTACTCCTTTCTCTCGTTCAAAACAATGTGCTAATACTTCCACACAACTAAAATAAGAACAATACTTAGACCCGGTTCCTTAAATGTGTTTTCATTGTTTTCCAATCATAATTATCTTTTACCTTGCTAATCCACACTGACCTTTAATGCAAACTTTTATTAAACAAATCATTATGGTAATATTTCAATTTTGATTAAAGAATAACATCATAAAACTTAAAAACTGTATATAAATTTTGTCCTGCATATAATTAACTAAAGCCAAGAAAACTTTGATGCGCAAAACAGTATAAGCATCTCATAAAACCAAATCGTATGCCCATCATAATCAGTTAAAACGTAAAATGCATGGTAAAATAAATTTCACAGAAACACAGCTTACTGTTTGAGAACAAAAAATAAAGAAACCTAAGCCATAGACTATGACGAGCAGCAATGATCCTAGAAGCTATGTATATGACTGGACATAATTTAAGACTAGTATTCTAAGATGCCAATACCACTAGCTAGGTCTCTTGTCAAACAAGATATCACTCGCTAGTAAGAACCAATACAAGATTAAGATTTGCACAAGGAAAGGAGCTTGTCTTCAAGAGGTGTGCATAAAATTTGAACGGAACAAATGCAATCCAAATGATAAAAACCAAACCATATATTAAGAGTAAAAAGTGGATAATTGAACTCCACCCAACCAATACAATTTCAAAAAAAGGGTTAATGGAACCATTTTTGAGAAATCCGAACCGTGAAAAGCCTTTGTCCCTATTCCTTGGCACCAGGAATTGTATGTATCACATTCCATCAGGGTCAAGGAAGATAGGAAACTCCGAAGAAACTCCTAGGGTCATTACAGAGGTAATAATGCAAACAGCATGTTACAGTTACATAATGTTACACGTTTCCATTAAACGGTCTTGAAAGAGATAGACTATAAACAACTTTACACAAACAGCAGAAACGTGATATCATGTTTGCATATAATACAAGAAACTAGGAGTGGCTAAACCTACTCATAGCATTCATCAAATGGAAACAAATAAAAAAGCAAGATTGAGGAGTGGTGAAAGCAAGAGAGAAGTGGGCACTCACGAGATTCGGCGCAGTGGGAGGGATTTTGTCAGATATACTGACAAACAAACCGGTCGGGTAGGTGTTTGATAGAATGCCTGATAGAGAGAGTCCAAATTCAAGTGTTCAGAAACGTTCTTTTTTTCTCTACCTCACACTCATACTGAGCCTCCTATATGCTTAGCAGCAGTTCGCTTTTATTTAATTTTAAGAAAAATAAATATTTTGTTAGTTGAATAATATATTTTCTCTTTTAAGACAAAATAGTTAATTATCATAATTATTTATAAATTAAATTTTAATATTTTTAAAATAAATTATTAATAAATAAAAATAATAATATATTATAATATAAATTATGTATCATAAATCTAATTTATAATTCATATATTTAAAATATTTATTTATACAAATTTTAAATATAATTTATATAACCAATAAACATAATATCTATTTGTATATATAATTTATTTCATAGAATATTATACATGCTAAAACGTTAGTACTTAATGTGTCTTTGGATTTTTTTTCCTTTTTATTAAAAATATGCTATAAAATTCTAATTATGAGCTATTTTGAATTTAAAAAAAAAGTAAATTTAAACATATAAAAGAGTCGATCTATCTCGAATGAAAGAAATTTATATCTGTACAGCTCTGGCCTGTAGTCAAACTTATTACCCACAGGCAAGGTAAGGAATTGTTTAGAGAGAATTTTCGTTTTAAGATTTGAAAATTGTAAAATTAAAATTAATTTGACATTATAATTATTTTATATTTTTCAATAATATCATTACGAAATTTAATGTGTTGACAATTTTATTAGATATCATTTAGGTGGATTTCTGTTCACAATCTCAATATGTTATTGTCAATTTGTCATTGTATTCAACAATATTAAAAATGTTTAACTGTTGACAATTTTTTTTTTTATACATAATATACATAACTCTAAATGTTGCAAAAAAAAAAAAAAACTAGGAAAGTTTGATTTTGAAATTCAAACCATGTAAACTAATTTTGGGTTTAGTTAATCTCCAACAAATTAATATATATATATATATATATAT